GGCCGAATTTGAGCTTTGCTTTCAGTCTTCCACTATAGTATAGAACCATAGTCTATTACACTAGTAATACAGGCTAAATATAGCTGTCTAATTACAAAAGGGGATAAGCCACGTGATATATTCGTAAGTCTCTATATCCTATAAAAGGCTTGTTTTGCTTTGGAAGCCCTATAGGCTATATGTTCCTTAAATCTGAGATTTTCATTAAAATAGATCCCTAGCTATTTGACTACTTTACTAGGGGAAACTAGTTCCCTATTAGGTAGTTTTAGACTAGGCTTATTTTTGGAATTATCAAAATAAATAAGCTTTGTTTTATCTATATTAAAGCTAATAGTATTCTTTTTCCCTAAATCGACTATATTCTTTACTTCTCTTTCTAGAGTCTTAATATTTTTCTTTAGACTTTTAGAAGTAGTAATAAGGGATATATTATCTAAATAGGATCTGAATTTGATATTTACTAACTTAAATAAGTCTCGGATATAGATAAGGAATAGTATAGGGGATATAGGGCTACCTTGTGGAATGCTAGTAAGTATAGACCTAAATACTTCGATACTATTATTAAAAGCTAGTCGTAATACTCGGTTATCTAGGAATAATAATACCCATAGAATAAGGCTAGTAGGTAGTAATAAACTAATCATAATCTGTAATAGCCTATTCTTGGATACGTAATCGAAGGCGCCTTTAATATCTAGGAAGAGAATGCTAGTTTTCAGCTTATAGGACTTATTTAATTCTACTTCATTTTGCAATAGTAAAGCAGTGTCAATAGCTGACTTGTAGAGCCTACCTCCTATTTGGGAGTGGTATAGTAGGTCACTAGTCTCGGCTAAATAGCTAAGTCGCCTAGCTAGTATTCTCTCAGAAACCTTCCCTAAGTAATTAAGTAGGGAAATAACTTGATATGCTTTGGGTAGGGAATAGTTTGGTTTCCCTGATTTCTTTAGAATAAAGCCAGTAGCTTGTTTCCAGACTTTAGGGTAGTATCCCTTATTAATAAATAAGGAGTATAGCCTATAAAAGATATCTGGAGAAGCTCTATAAGCATGAACTATAATCTCTTGAGTAACTAAGTCTGGTCCAGGGGTTTTCCCCTTTATCTTAGAAGTACAGGCTTATTCTAGCTCTATTTTAGACAAAATAGGCCAGTCCCACTTTGAGCTAGACCTATAGTTTATTAAACTAGTAGGCTTAGTAATAGGGGGTAGTGGGAAAAGCACAGTTCTAAAGATATTACACTTCTCTTAGAAAGTCGATTTTAGCTTATTTGAACTATTATCTAAGATACTAGAAATAGGTTAATATATAGTATCTTTAGTATATTTCATAGCTTTAAAAATCGACTGGGGGTCTTTATTCTCTAAGAACTTATTCTAGTGCACTAGCTTAGTATTCTTAATAGTATTAAAATAGGTGTTTTTTGCATTTTGGAGTTCTTGTTTATAGAGAGTATATCCTAAAGCTTTAGACTTATGGCTATAGTATAGTATTAATTTACGTAAGGTCTTTAAGTCCTTATTCCACCAGGGTTTAGAATACGGACTAGTAGTAGATTTTGGAATACTATTACTAGCTGCTTCCACTATTCTATTAGTAAAGTCTTCTGCTAATAGGTCTAGTTTATAGTTTCCAGGTATACTAGTAAGTGGAAAGAGCATATTCTCAAGGCTATTAATAAGGTAGCTTGTAAATTTAGCCTAGTCCGCTTTCTTAGTATTAAATCTGACTGGATTAGAACTAGAGCTATAAGTCGACTTACTAATAGTAAATAGAACCCCGAAGTAATCAGAACCTAAGTCTGGTAGCACTTGCCAGTCTTTAATCTTAGTTACTATTCCACTAGTAGCAAAACTTAAGTCTAATACGGAAGGAATGGATATATTAGGTCTATAAAAGGTACCTTCCCCTGGTTTATTTAATAGCCTTAGAAAATGGTTCTCTATATAGCTAATTAAATGAACTATATGACTGCTTTGAGGTTTAAGGGGATCCTACCAAGGATAATATATATTAAAATTACCTAGTAATAGAGAGCTATTATAGAGAGTAGTAGGTAAGATATTCTCTCTTAATATAGTTAATATACTATTAGGGTCTTCTGGGTGAATTGCATTATAGAAATTAATTAGCTGCATTTTTAGTATACCTAGACTTAAGTCTATAATTAAGTAATCAGGATTACTTGGTGAGTTTGAGGCTAGACTAGCTTGCAGTTCGCGAGCTATATAAAATAGGGTTCTAGGCCTTAGGGTACCGTAATTCGGGAGTATTTGGAAATAGCTAGAGTATATAATAGAACGATATTCCCGATTATTATTCCCTGCTATTACCCAAGGCTCCTGGATTACTAGGACTTTAATATCCAGTTCTATAGCTATTTACAAGACGTTTTCAGTAGTAGAGCTATTGCGATTCACATTAACTTGTAGTACTTTGACGTAGCTACTTATTAATAGTAATAGTAGGAATTATAATAGTAGTAGCTTTTTTAATTACTAAGTAAACCTCACATAGCTTAGAACTAGCTGAGTGGGCAGTACTTAAGTAATTAGAGCATTTAGTAGTTATATAGGGGCATTTTTTACCCTTCTTCTTATAGATAGAGCAAAAATGGTTCTCAGTCACGTGACCCTCACTATATAGTAAGCACTTAGGTTCCTTTTTGCAAATAGAATCTAAGTGCCCGTACCCTGCGTATCTAGTATACTATATAGTACTAGAAATAGTATGGTATTTTATTACTTTAGCAGAGATCCCGGCTATAAAGAGTCTATTTTTAATAGCTCTATTAGCTTGAATCTCGGTAGGGAATGCCACTATTACTAAACCGGCTCGCTAGAGGCCTGAGTCTCTTTTCTCCTTAGAAGTAGCCTAATAGGGCTGGCTAATAGGCTCTAGTTCCTTATTAAAGGTCTTGATTTCTTCTAGGACTAAGTCCATTCCTTTGGGTATATTGAACTCACGAATAGGTAGACCGTGAATAATAACTTTATACCAAGGTTCTCCTTTTTATATGCTTATAACTAAGGGAAGCACTCCCTTTATAATAGCTTGATTTTAAACCAGAAAGTCAGAGTTGAATTCGGGAGTAGTATTAACTATAATATTACTCTTTGAGGAAAGAGAAACCGTAGAGATTACTAGTCCCTTGATTTCCTTAGAGCGGAAAGCAGTATTAAGCGAATTGCGAGTTGAAATAGGAGAGAACGAGCTAGCCTGCTCTATATGAGCTAGTAGGAAGGTGCATTTCCTAGAGAGGGCTATAGATCTGGTGTTACGAGTACCAGAACCACTAGTGTCACGTGTACTGGGTGGTTTATTAGTGCCACGAGCACTACCGCTATTAGTAAGTATACTAGGGCCTTTTCCTCCCTGATTTTTAGACTTAGTATATAATACTAAAGTCTAGTCCTTTTCCGAGTGTGATTCCGAGTGTGTTTGTGGTTCTTGAGTAGCGATTTTAGCCCAAGTAGGCTTTTCGGAGGTAGTTTTAGCTTGAGTAGCTAGCTTGGCTTGAGTTCTTGACTGAATTTCGATCCGTTTAGTGGCATTTTCGAGGTTCGCTACCTGTAAAGCTAGTAAAGTACTAGTATGGCGGATACGGCCGAATTCTGTGTATTCCCTGAAGATTTCTACTAAATCTAGTAGTCGAGATTACTAGTCATATAACGGGGTAATAGTAATGGCTTTGACTATTAAGTCCCGGGCTTGACGAATCAGTAATTTAGCTTTATTCGAAGCTTGATTTTGGTATTAGTAGTGGTTTCCGTGGTTTTAGTATTCCTTATTAATATTACTATCAATATCGCTCGCGCTAGGGCCACGCTTTAGCCCGTTCTGGAGGCGGCTTAGTCGAGCCGTACTAGCTGAATTAGGCTAAGGAAAAGGGGCTGCGAGTTCGTCTGAAGAGATGGGATTTGTAGCTAAATCGAATGCGAATTGAGCTCCCTGGCTAAACCGGGCTAGTGGGGAGCTAGTGGGTAGCTCTAGTTCCTCGCTAGGGCCTTCTGGAAGCTCTCCGAGCTCTTGAAAGTCAATGGGAGGGGGGCTGGAGCCCGGGGGGTCAGGGGGGGCCATTTAGCCTGTTCTAGCTCTACTTATAGTAGGTTCTAGAGCCTGGGGCCAAAGGGCTGAGGTGTATTGAGTGAGTTCTGAGGGTGGGTGAAGTGTGGGTGTGAAAGTAAGGGGGGTAGAAAACCGGAAAAAAGTTGTTTTTTGGCTTTAGCTAGTAGAATACTAACTAGCTATCTCCTGAAATCCTACTGGCTTCTGAAGCTTATTTCCCTAGGCTCAGGGACATCGCTATATAAAGCTAGTAAATAGCAATTGACTAGAACCATACGAAGTAGCCAGTACTCTAGTACTTAGTGCCCTCCTCGCTCTATATACCGTAAACCAGCGTTCTGGGTAGTCAGGTAATCAAACTCGTTAACTACTCCCATATAATAGTTATATCTATCCGCAATTATAGGAATTGAGAGTATCTTTATAGCCTGATTACCAAAGGGTATTCGTATAGTCTTTACTTTAGAAGAAGTCTCCTTAGGCCTCTTCCTTAGCCATAAAATACGCTCGTTACCTAATATAAAGGAAGATATCATTAAAACAAAGGCCTGATCTTTCTATCTAATATAATATACTTCTCCATTAGACATATACCTAGAATAGGCCTCTCCCCAGGGGATTATATCCTTTTTATCCGATTTCTGAAGGTCAAGAAGCTCCTGAATAACCCTACCAGTTATCCTGCAAGTCCCAGTAATCGCAACTCCTTGGAAGCAAACATATTAGACAAAACGAGTAGAAACAAAGAGATTATCAAGGTATACGTAATAGCCAGAGCCCTTAGGAGGCTTAGGTAGTCTTTTAATCAGGTACAGAACTACTGCTTGTATCTTGTTTCCACCATTTCCAGCCTTAATTGTCCCACCAAGCTCCCTAGGAGTATATACTCCCACAGGACCATTTTTTTAACCAGGAATATACCAGTTCTATACAAGTAAGAACCCCTTCTGAGCTACTCCCCAGACCTTATATCCTGTAGGTATGGGCTTGTTTGAAACAGTAGTTATCTCTTTTAATCGACCTTCAAATCGTATAATTATCTCGTTAACTACCAAGTCCCGTCCAGGCTTCCAAACCCTCAAATTAACCGCTTGAATATATATACTTAAAGCTTTAACCTACTCGGTAGTTTATTAGCTAGTTTCAGATAAAAGGAACAGGAAAACGGAGACTACCTTCTCATATAGGCCTTATTCCTGATTTCCATGGAATTATACACATATATAGAGTTCCTGAAACCGATTTCTACCCAAATACTTCGTAATCGGGTACTCTAATATTATATCTTTTATTACCTAGTAGTCTGTAATCTCACTGTCCATATACAAGGTCATATATATCCGAATCGCAAAGTAGATATAAATCTCTCTACGGCATATTAGATACTAATTATTTGCTCGTATATAAGGGGAGGATTCGTCTTGAGGTTTTCGCATATAATTATTTGTCTTCTCGACTATTAAATCAAGGATTTCGGGAGTATAGTATATAGTAAATAAAATAATAGGATTATCTAGAGAGACGTCTTCAGGTAAGGTAATTTCCCAGCCGAATTGGGGTAATTGCATTGGCTTAAAAGCACTCCCCTGCTTCCGCAGTAGATCCTTATTAGGCCAAAGGGTCCCTTTATTAGTAGAATCAAAAATAGTATCGTTTGGCATCATAGTTATAGTATAATTAATCAATTAGGTAGTTTGTTTACATATAAATATCAAATCGTAGTTTTGGTATTCCTCCGGAATAATAGTTATTCCGGCCCCGAAAATTCGTCCCTAATAGTAACGGAACGAATAGTAAGTCCTAAAAGCTATTTTCTACTCATATTCTTTATAAATTCTTACCTAATAATATATATTCTTGAAATCTAGCTTTATAAAGATCTTAGCTTCTCGGAGCTAGTTAAGAGTCTTATTAATAAGAGAAAGCAAATACCGATTTTTAATTATAACTTAGTTAAGTTTATAATAATTAATATAAAGGTATAGTTCTTTATTTTTCTTGGGAATAAAAAGAATAAATATTCCTACTAGGCTTTTACTAGGCCTTATCTAATATTTATAAAATATATCCTATAAATACAAATATAATACTTCTAGTTAGGTCTCTAATAGATTATATAAAGGCCTATATGGAACTATACTATTTATATTAATAAAGTATTTAATACTACTAAGATTAGGAAATTCTAAAGCTTTATTAGAGTCAAAAATCTCTAAGAAATCTTTATATTTATTATTCTGGAGATAAATAGATATTTCTAAGGCTTCTTTTCGGAAAGTATTAATTTGCTATATTAAAAACTCCTATTTAGTATTATTAGAACTATATAATAAAGTAAAGATCTAGTAATTATTATAAATATATAAAGCCTATTATCTAGGATAATTATATTTACTTTTAGTTAAGAATAAGATTTAAAATACTAGCTTAGGATACTAGTTAAGCTCCTTACCAAATTCTTTTAGTATTAGAATCTTAATATTATTAGGCTATATAAATATATATATTTATTATTTCTTAATATAATTTATATATTATATAAGAATTATTTTATAAAATTCCATACTAAAAACAAGGCTATAAAAGCTAATATTCTTATACCTATAGAACCGGAGCTTAAAAGAATGCATTTTACTATAATTATTTATAATAAATATCTTAAGATTATAGGCTTAATAGATCTTAAATTAGTTCTTATAAAAGATTATAAATTCTTAGTTATATTTAGCTAAGGTAATAAAGCCCCGGCTTTAAACCTAATTATTATTAAGGAAATTATAATCTAATCCGGTATTACTAAGTTTATTATATATCTCTAAGGTCCCTATTTCTAGCTATATTAATCTTATTTAAATAATTATATAAAGTAATATACCTTTTTTTTATTATAGCTAAAATTATTAATATTTAAGATTTAGTTTTCTTTTTTCCTTATTTCTTAGGAAAGTTTCCTCTAAAGTACTTCTTTATAGCTATAGTATTAACCTATTTCTATAACAACTTTTTTTCCGGTTTTTTACCTCTTTTACTTTCACACCCACACTTTACCCACCTTCAGAACTCACTCAATACACCTCAGCCCTTTGGCCCCAGGCTCTAGAACCTACTATAAGTAGAGCTAGAACAGGCTAAATGGCCCCCCCTAATCCCCCGGGCTCTAGCCCTCCTCCCATTAACTTTTAAGAGCTCGGAGAGCTTCCAGAGAGCCCTAGTAAATAGCTAGACCTACCCACTAGCTCCCTACTAGCTCGGTTCAGCCAGGGAGCTTAATTCGCATTCGATTTAGCTATAAATCCCATCTCTTTAGACGAACTCGCAGCCCCTTTTCCTTAGCCTAATTTAGCTAGTACGGCTTAACTGAGCCGCCTCTAGAACGGGCTAAAGCGTGGCCCTAGCTTGAGTAATATTAATAGTAATATTAATAAGAAATACCAAAACCACGGAAACTACTACTAATATTAGAATTAAGCTTTAAATAAAGCTAAATTACTAATTTATTAAGCCCGGGACTTAATAGTTAAAGCTATTACTATTACTCCATTATATGACTAGTAATCTCGACTACTAGATTTAGTAGAAATCTTTAGAGAATATACTAAATTCGGCCATATCCGCTATACTAGTATTTTACTAGCCTCCCAGGTAGCGAACCTCAAAAATACCACTAAACGGATTAAAATTTAGTTAAGAACTCAAGCCAAACTAGCTACTCAAGCTAAAACTACTTCCGAAAAGCCTACTTGGGCTAAAATCACTACTCAAGAACCATAATCTTACTCGGAAAAGGACTAGACTATAGTATTATATACTAAGTCCAAAAATCAGGGAGGAAAAGGCCCTAGTATACTTATTAGTAATAGTAGTACTTGTAATACTAATAAACTACTTAGTACCCGTAATACTAGTAGTTCTAGTACTCGTAATACTAGCTCGAAATCTATAGCCCTCTCTAGGAAAAGTACCTTCCTACTAGCTTATATAGAGCAGGCTAGCTCGTTCTCTGCTATTTCTACTTGTAATTCGCTTAATACTACTTTCTGCTCTAAGGGAATTAAGGAACTAGTAATTTCTATAGTTTCTCTTTCCTTAAAAAATAATATTATAGTTAATACTACTCCCGAATTTAACTCTGACTTTCTGATTCAAAATTAAGCTATTATAAAGAGAATACTTCCCTTAGTTATAAGTATATAAAAAGAAGAACCTTAATATAAAGTTATTATCTATAGTCTATCTATTTATAAGTTTAATATACCCGAAGAAATAGACTTAGTCCTAGAAGAAATCAAGACCTTTAATAAGGAACTAGAGCTTATTAGCTAGCCCTATTAGGCTACTTCTAAGGAAAAAAGAGACTTAGGCCTCTAGCGAGCCGGTTTAGTAATAGTAGTATTCCCTACCGAGATTTAAGCTAATAGAGCTATTAAAAATAAACTCCTTATAGCCGGGATCTTTACTAAAATAGTAAAATACTATATTATTTCTAGTACTATATAGTATACTAGGTATATAGGATACGGGCACTTAGATTCTATTTATAAAAAGGAACCTAAGTGCTTACTATATAGTAAGGGTCACGTAACTGAGAACTATTTTTGCTTTATTTATAAGAAGAAGGGCAAAAAATGCCCTTATATAATTACTAAATACTCTAATTACTTAAGTACTATTTATTTAGCTAGTTCTAAGCTATATAAGGTTTACTTAGTAATTAAAAAAGCTACTACTACTATAATTCCTACTATTACTATTAATAAGTAGCTATATTAAAGTACTATAAGTTAATATGAATTATAATAGCTCTATTACTAAAAACGTCTTATAAATAGCTATAGAACTAGATATTAAAGTCCTAGTAATCCAGGAACTATAAGTAATAGTAAGGAATAATAATAATCAGAAATATTATTCTATTATATACTCTAGCTATTTCTAAATACTCCCGAATTACGGTACCCTAAGGCCTAGAACCCTATTTTATATAGCTCGCAAACTATAAGCTAGTCTAGCCTCAAACTCACTAAGTAATCCTAATTACTTAATTATAGACTTAAGTCTAGGTATACTAAAAATATAGCTAATTAATTTCTATAATATAATTTACCTAGAAAACTCTAATAATATATTAACTATATTAAGAGAAAGTATTTTACCTACTACTCTCTATAATAGCTCTCTATTACTAGGTGATTTTAATATATATTATCCTTAATTGGATTCCCTTAAACTTTAAAGCAGTTATGCAGTTTATTTAATTAGCTATATAGAGAACTATTCTCTAAGGCTATTAAATAAACCAGGGGAAGGTACTTTCTATAGACCTAATATGTCTATTTCTTCCGTATTAGACTTAAGTTTTACTACTAGTGGAATAGTAACTAAGATTAAAGACTGGCAAGTACTACTAGACTTAGGTTCTAATTACTTCGGGGTTCTATTTACTATTAGTAAGTCGACTTATAGCTCTAGTTCTAATCCAGTCAGATTTAATACTAAGAAAGCGGACTGGGCTAAATTTACAAGCTACCTTATTAATAGCCTTAAGAATATACCCTTTCCACTTACTAGTATACCTGGAAATCATAAACTAGACCTATTAGTAGGAGGGAATAGGAAAAGTATAGTTCTAAAGATATTATACTTCTCTTAGAAAGTCGATTTTAGCTTATTTAAACTATTATCTAAGATACTAGGAATAGGTTAATATATAGTATCTTTAGTATATTTCATAGCTTTAAAAATCGACTAGAAGTCTTTATTCTCTAAGAACTTATTCTAGTATACTAGCTTAGTATTCTTAATAGTATTAAAATAGGTATTTTTTGTATTTTGGAGTTCTTATTTATAGAAAGTATACCCTAAAGCTTTAGACTTATGGCTATAGTATAGTATTAATTTACATAAGGTCTTTAAGTCCTTATTTTACTAGGGTTTAGAATACGGACTAGTAGTAGATTTTGGAATACTATTACTAGCTGCTTCTACTATTCTATTAGTAAAGTCTTCTATTATAGTACCTATTAGTCTAATAAACTATAGGCCTAGCTCAAAGTGGAACTAGCCTATTTTATCTAAAATAGAGCTAGAATAAGCCTGTATTTCTAAGATAAAAGGGAAAACCCCTGGACTAGACTTAGTTACTTAAGAGATTATAGTTCATACTTATAAAGCTTCTCCAGATATCTTTTATAGGCTATACTTCTTATTTATTAATAAGGGATACTATCCTAAAGTCTAGAAACAAGCTACTAGCTTTATTCTAAAGAAATCAGGGAAATTAAACTATTTCCTACCTAAAGTATATTAAGTTATTTCCCTACTTAATTACTTAGGGAAGGTTTCTGAGAAAATACTAGCTAGGCGACTTAGCTATTTAGTCGAGACTAGTAATCTACTATACTACTCCCAAATAGGAGATAGGCTCTATAAGTCAGTTATTAATATTACTTTACTATTATAAAATAAAGTAGAATTAAATAAGTCCTATAAGCTAAAAACTAGTACTCTCTTCCTAGATATTAAAGGCACCTTTAATTATATATCCAAGAATAGGCTATTACAGATTATAATTAGTTTACTATTACCTACTAGCCTTATTCTCTAGGTATTATTATTCCTAGATAACCGAGTATTATAACTAGCTTTTAATAATAGTATAGAAGTATTTAGGTCTATATTTACTAGTATTCTATAAGGTAGCCCTATATCTCCTATATTATTTCTTATTTATATCCGAGACTTATTTAAGTTAGCAAATATTAAATTCAGATCCTATTTAGATAATATATCCCTTATTACTACTTCTAAAAGTCTTAAAAAGAATATAAAGACCCTAGAACGGGAAGTAAAGAATATAGTTAACTTAGGGAAAAAGAATACTATTAGCTTTAATATAAATAAAACAGAGCTTATTTATTTTAATAATTCCAAAAATAAGCCTAGTCTAAAACTACCTAATAGGGAACTAGTTTCCCCTAGTAAAGTAGTTAAATGGCTAGGAATATATTTTAATGAAAATCTCAGATTTAAGAAATATATAGCCTATAGGGTATCCAAAGCAAAACAAGCCTTTTATAGGGTATAAAGACTTATGAATATATTACGTAGCTTATTCCCTTTTGTAATTAGATAGCTATATTTAGCCTATATTACTAGTATAATAGACTATAGTTCTATACTATAGTAGAAGACTAAAAGTAAAGCTCAAATTCGGCCTTTATAGGCGATTCAAAACCTAGCCCTAAGAAAAACCCTAGAAGTATTTAAAACTGCTCCTATTATTCCTATAGAGGTCGAATTAGCTTTAGTTCCACCTATTATAAGGCTAAACTATAGTCGATATTAATATGCCTTCCGTATCCTTAAACTAAGTCTAAAATACCCTATTAGACTAGAGTTCGAGAAGTTCTTCTAAAGATCTAGAGATTTAGAAGTAATAGAATCTGATATAGACTCTATTTATAGTCTAAATACTAATCTAAAGCGAGATTACTTGGCTAAAAAGTCTTAAATAGAAACTATAGTAAATTCTATTAGTAATCTAGTAGACCCTAGAGATCTAGAGACTATAAGATACTTCTATTTTGCTTCCTGGGATAGAGAAGTGCCTTATAAAATTACTATATTAAAAGAGCCAAAGGAAGAGACTACTATATTATATAATTTCTACCTAAAGACTTTATATAATAGTAGCTCTATACTATCTATATATACAGATAGATCTCAAACTAAAAAAGGAATCGGAGTAGGCCTAGGGCTCGTGGTTTATAGTTATAAAACTCCTTATATTCCGGTTATAGCTAAATATAGAGAAAGCCAGAATATAGGAGCTAGTACTATAGTCTATAACAGAGAACTAGAAGGCGTTACTAGGGCTATTAAATATGCTAGTAGTAAAGCAAAGAGAGGAGAGCTTTTTAATATCTATATAAATAACTAAGCTAGTTTACTAAGACTAAAAACTCCTTCTAATAAGCCCGGTCAAAGTCAATAGATTAGAGCTATATTAGCTACTAAAGCCCTTAAAGCTAAAGGAGCTAATATAGAACTAATCTGGGTTCCAGGGCATACGGATATAATAGGAAACAAAGAAGCAGATATACTAGCTAAGCTAGGTACTACTTCTCCTATATTAGAACCTGAATTAGTAAAAACCTCCTTTGCTTTCCTAGGGATTGAAATTAATAAAGTTAAGAAACTAGAGTATAGACTACTTTTAGAATCTTATACTAAACCGAAAACCTAGCTAGAATTATATAGTAATATATATTCGTAGAAAGTATTCAGAAAAATAAACCTACCTATAGGAATACTTAGGCCTATAGCTAGTGCATTCTTCTAGCTAAAGCTAGGCCACGGATATTTAAAGTCCTATTTATATAGGCTAAAAATAGTATCTAATAATAAATATAAATATAGTAAAACTGAGAATATAAAGCACTTCCTTCTATATTATATACTATATAGGAAGGAACGTTTTAGACTATTTAGTCTATTTAAAGGAAGCCTGGAAGCTAGTGCTTTTAACCTATAATTACTATTATATACGGAAATTGGGATATTAAATATACTAGTATTCTTAAAAGAAACTAGTATATATATAAGAAAATGGCATATTAAGTAAAGCATGAAAGTAAAGGAAGTGGAAATAGAAAAGGAAATAGGGGAGGAAATAGGGGAGGAAATAGGAGAGGAAATAGGGGAGGAAATAGGGGAGGAAATAGGGGAGGAAATAGGGGAGGAAATAGGAGAAGGGGAATAGGGGAAAAGAGAAATAGGAAATAGGAGAGGATTTGCGATTTATACTTATTTTCTTTATTTCCTTAAGTTTTTATTCTAGGGATATGTCCCCAACTATTTATTATACCTATATTGGATTTTGGGCCTGTATATTAGCTACTGAGATATATGCTAGCTAGCTAGCCGTACTATATAGTTCTAAACTAATAAAGTATATTAAAAGGAAAAAAAAAAAAAAAGGAAAAAATATAGTTATAGGAGTCTTTTTAGACAGTATCTTTCCCTTTAAAATAGAGGGCTCCTCCTTACTTTCTGCTATTTTACTAACTTTATATTTAGTCTAGTATTTAGATTTCTACTATTTATTAGGAGTTTTAGGTTTAACTTATTCTCTATTCTTACTAGGTTCTTTT